CAGACATCTTGTTACCGTTAATCCAAAACCCCAAAACCCCAAAACCCCGCGAAACTTAATATAATGGCTAAATTAAAATTTCTTAAATAGGAAAATCGGTATATTACCTTACTAATTAGTGAGTTAAAAAATAAAATTCAAACAAACTCGTATATATTCATAAACTTTGTGATTTGATTGACAATCACTAATCTTTCTTTAAAAGCTTAAGAGCAAGTTTAAGATTTTTAATTACTAGCTTTTATTTCTTCTGATTAATATTGTTTTACTTCTCTGAATCTTCCTAGGCAATTTAATTTTTATTTCCTTTTATAGATGCTATCTAATTATCTGCTATTCTTGAAGATAGAGATGTTTTGGGTCTTATATCGCCAATTTGATTATTATTTCTGTTCATATAGATATCATTTTCTTTGTAATTTCCTTCCTCTAAGTATTGTATAGAGAATTCTTCATTCTAGCTATTTTGAAAATGTACCGAAGATTTCTACTATTCTTGTAAGGCAAATTGCAGCATATGATCTTTATAGAAGCTAACCTTATTAATGTCATTTTAAACTTATTCCTAGTTATCTCCGTGAAACTTTTTGTTAAAACTTAGAACTGCGCTACCATCATTGTCACTAATTTCATTCAGGAGTTCAAATGTCAAATTTTTAGATTACAGAGCATGTGAATCCTTTTAATCAGAGTATTCTTAAGGAACTGCATTGTTTACTTTAGTATTGTTATGAATGGTCTTAAAAAAGCCTGTAAATGAATTTATTTCTTGGGAGTTATTAATTGAATCTATCTACTACAGCTCATCTTAGAGATCTTTAAAGTTGATGAATTATGTTTTCTCCAATTCTTTATTCATTCCTAAAACAGGTCTCTATTAGCATAAAACATCTGCTGATTTTTTAAGCCAATTTTCATCCTTTAGTTATGCTTATCTTTGAAACTACTCAGCATTCTATTTTTTTACTATTCTTATTTGTGAGTGTTGCCTTTAACTATGATCTTAAGAGGTATTATGTGAATTATTAGGATCTTACAAGTCTTTATTGTTGTTTTCTATTCTATGAGTTTAAGCTCTAGTTGCTGGTCTTTAAAACACTTCTTAACCACTATTGATAGCTTCCTTCTCGTTTAAGGATTGCTTGAATGATTTGAATTTCTCATTTTAATTGATAAACTCATTTGAATACTCGTCAATCTTTTTATCTTAATTTTTATTTCTAATGTTGAATTTCAGCTAAACCTAACTTGGACTATCTTGACACTGATTAACCTTAAAATATCTTCTTCCGTTACTACTAACTATTGACTGATTTTGAAGATTATAATTAACAATACTATTTAAGTTATTGTTCTTAAAAGTAGGTTCAAGAGAAGAATTTCTGGAGGATTAAGATTCTTAAATAATAGGAGAAATATTACGTTTTGCATACTCATTACCATAGAGATCATTTGAACTTCTCCTTTTACTTTTGAAATTCTTTTTACTAGAATCTTAATTTAGCTATCTAAGATTAGGATTTGATTTAAGCTCTACTGATTGATCTACTCTGATTAAATTTTCTATTCTATAACTACTATCTTGCATTTGATTTTAAATCAATTTGTCTCTTGGTAAAAGAACTGATCTATTTTAGCCATATGAAATTTTTAGGTTCCCATTATTTTAATTTCTAAGTTCTGAGCCTTAACTGTTTCTCTCTAGACTTTCAAACTATTTGTTTGCAAATCTACGAGGCTCACTAATATTTGATTATGAATCCTAACTTTTCCTATTTTTCTCTCTTTATTTTTAGGCTTCTGTCATATTATGATTCATATCTTCCATATTTATTGAAGAATTCTATGAATATGGCAAAGGTGTCTCAACATTTCTATTAACACTTTTAGTTGTTCTGAATCTACCTTAGTTATTAGCAACTGTCAGACCATTTTAATAGCTTGGATGAATTATGTTTTGAATCCTACTTTAATGAATACTTTATTAATTTAATTTTTATTCAGAGTTTCCTTGATTTTAATTTTGAAAATTTTACTAAATCTTCCTTGGAGTAATACTTGACTTATTTGATTGACTTTGAATTTTTCTGATCTAATCTGAGTCTAGGATAGCCTTTCTATCATTATGGAAGCTCCTGTTATGTGGTCCATCTAAAGCTGAACTGACCATTGTCTAATTTACTGATGAAAGCTAAGATAAATTTTTTGTATTATTTTAAGAGTAAGCACCAGAATACCCTGAATTTTGAAAAATATTGTGAGTTGGTGTGTTTTGATATAACTGATAGATATCTTAAGTGAATGGGTCATCTGAACCTGTCTTTTTGAATTCAGACTTAATCATTTACATTCCACCATTGTTCTACATGAACATGGCTGCCTTATTGGTGTTAATACTTTATTTTTTCAAGTAGAATTAGGATTGCTAATCTATGTCACTTTTCATTAGTTTCTGCTTTTCCATTTCAGTGAAGTAATTTGAAACTCTAATCAATTTATCTTTGGGGCTATTTTCAAATCTTTCATCATTTTATGAGACATTTTACATTTGATCAGGAGATAGCTAGTTATTGGTATTACTCTTTTTAGGCTGGTGTAAATTTAGCCTGCCTTTTGTTTTTAATCATCTATTAACGGTCAGAGGAGAGATTTTTTATTATTTCATAGATTCATTAGCAACACTGTTTTATTCTACCCTACTTGAATTTTGGCTAAAATCTCTTTGAATTTGCTAAGTGATGTAAGTTTTTACTGCATGATTTTAGGGGTTCTAATGAGTATTCAAGTAGTTTTTGTAACTTTCTTCGTAATTAACACTGCTATTATGCTGATTGAGTTATATTTTACCCAAATTCTAAGCAACTTATTTCATTTACTGCTACTTTTGATTAAATACTATTTAATTAAGGTTGTCATTTGTTATTATTGGAATGCTAATGCTGTTATTCTAATCCGTGTTAGTTCCCATTTGATATTATTATTAAAAAAAGTTATGCTTTTTATTTATCTAATGCTTCCTACCACCAAAGCTTTAAGGATTATTCTTTGTTGCAATATTAGACATGATATTGCTGTTAGTTATTTTGCTGCCTTATTTTGGTTAAGAATTAGTAATGGCATCTAAAATGGGTTACTAACCGTGATTATTGAAGTTTATTGAATATACATATTGCGGTTATATTCTTATTAATGTATAGCTTTCATTACTATCTCTTTAATTCAGCTAAGGCTCTACAAATTAGCCTTAATACTTAAGTTCATCATCTCTTTTAATTCTATTTTTAATGTATTTAAGCTTTTGAATTTCCCTGGCTTGTGAGTCCTCAAATATTAAATTCGATTAATCCATGTTTTATTAATATTGCTACACATTTTAAATAAAAAGCTCTAATTATTTATCGATCAATTAATTAAGCGAAAAAATTCCAATATATTATGAATAGTGGGGTTTTGGGGTTTTGGGG